TTTCTACCATGAAAGAAGCCTTTTTCATCATTACATCCAATGTGAACTAACTCTGTAACACAATCCCATCACAGTGATGCCTGCAGATACCTCAGCGTCAGAGAAAAGCCAGATTCCACCTCATATGATGTGAACCAACAGCACAAATGCTCTTCCCTGCCCAGGGAATACTGCTGGGTCAGGACTCCCTCTGTGAGTGAGTGAGAGCCAGACATAGCTAGACATTTTCCCGGCATACTACCCTGCTTCTCTGGCTGAACTTTCAGGCTGAAACCTTTGGACACAAGCCCATGAAGGACAGTGATAAGGCAAATTCAGCTGCTTTGGGGCTCATAAAAAATGCAGTGTTTCATTGCAAGTAGACCCCATAAATCCCCCAGGGTCACATCCAAGTCATTCCTTGTCTATGAGGTTAACACACTGACCCACTGTTGGCAGACCATGCACTCTGAGGTTTCTCCAGTCCAGGGTCTCCTGTTCTCCCTCCATTGGCCGCATGGAGAACTCTGCCTGTGAAAGTAGCTGGCCAGGGTCAGGAGTGAGGTTTTTGGAGTGTGGGGAACCAGCCCATGCAAACTCAAATGTATCCCAAGGAGCACCCTGAGATTACAACCTCAATTTACCCTTTTCTTTACAATGTGCCTAGGAATTCACCAGGAAGTACAGTCTGCCCTCACACAACCCATCAGATGAAAGATGGAGCCTACATCGAGTGCCACCCATGAGTACCCACAATGCACTGCTCACCACTCCATAGCCTTTCACATGCCACACATCATAGGGCCAAAGCTATCAGCAGAGCCAGGTCCTTCAGGACAGCTCTGCACAAGGTTCTTCTACTCAAGTATCTCTCTCTACTTACTCAGAAAATTCTTCCAACTTTATTCACATAACCTACATTCAGAATTATATAAAATATAAATTTTACATTTTAATTTTTTATTCTCTTTCTCTGATCTCTGACATGCTAACTCTATAAAATGTAATGGGGTACAACACAAGTCAATGAAAATTAAAAAAAATTATTTAGAAGTCAATGAGAGAGACACTGATACAGGAAATCAGCCGTAACTGTTAGAATTGCACATAAAACTACTTTTACATTGTTTGTTAAAATAGAAAATCAGTTTCCCTGTCCACAAAATGTTTTCTGATCTTGACAACTTGCTCCTTTCCTTCAAATGTCTTCCTTTCTCCATAGCTAAATACTGTAAAGTTTCGAGCTCATTTATCTCAGCCATGCTCCCCTGCTTCCAAGTCAATGAACCTTTTATTGCATCCCTTACTATGTACTGAGCAACACACAGTTGATGCACTCTATTATCCAGAGATTTATCATTTTATAGATGAAGGCACAAGGGCTCCATTAAGTTCCCTGACTCTCCTGCTTTCACAGCCTGGCAAGCGGTTTCTGCCATTTGCATGTGCACATGCTGCCCGTGGGGGCTTCAGGGAAAATATTTTTCCAGTATGGCTTGCATCTGGTTTTATCCTACTAGAGTGAGATATGTTATACAGGCTGGGGAAGGGGGCTGCTACTGATAAGCCCAGTCTTGGAGTCAAAGATTACAGGCAACTCAGAGAAGGACAGACACAGCTATAGCACAGTGCAAGCCCTCTGTTCACGCGGGGTCTTCTCCCTGGATTCAAATAACTGGAAATTGACTCCTCAATGCAGAGTTAGTCAAAACTGAGGTCTACAACTAACAATATGTCTGGTCTTGATCTTTCATGTCACTCTCTAACCAACATTCTGCTAGCTCGCAAGGTCAGAACACAAGATCAGGGAGGAAGCCCAGAAACCTCGTCCTCCTTCACCATGCAGGCTAACAGGCATGCACACCTCTCGGCCTTAGTCAAACTAGCAAGCACTGTTTGTACTAGATACTAAAGAGGTTGTAGAGCTCACAGGAGAAAAAAACAAAACAGGATACTGTGCAGCTGACATGATTACCAAGCACAATCCGAGCTGTGCTAACACAACTACTAACAATGATTATGCTTAGGTATTGCTTCCAAATTTCAAGCCATAACTCTTTACAAAAGGTAAGCAGTTGATGAAAACCTACCAAAGCTTAATCCTATCTCTATAACCAAAGGCAGCAAGGAAACCCTCACAATTGTTCCTTTCTATAAGTCAAGCATATCCTTTTTTGCTTGTTTGTTTGCTTACTTCTTGTGCTGCTCTGAACATCCTATCTCTCCGGAAACAAAGTATACCTGTTCTTTTCTGTAGAAGTTTTACCTCTAAAGTCCCTTAAGTGCTAAAATGCTACACAAAACACTACATTGACATTCTAAGTAGACCATCAAAACTGTATCTTTACCAGGGTGAAAATTCAGGATCTTATTCACAGATAATAGCATGCTAAAGATACAAAAATCCTATCAGCATAGTAAATGACTTACAGAAATAAAAACTGGTTTTAGTTCCAACTTGCAACATATGAGACCCCAATCCCAATAGGTAACACACAGAACATTCCAGAGAGGTTTGCAAATGAGCTACTGCCCTCAGCTGAACCACACAGCTGGTTTATTGATGGAAATGAAGAATAACAAAAGGATGTCTAAAGTGTTAAAAGGTCAGTGCAGTAAAGGATGAATAAGAAATAAATTTGGCCCTTATAGTGCAATGATGTTGAACTCAATTTACCACCCCAAAGACTCACATAGGCTTATGCTCTTTTGATCAACAGAGAAAACGCTTTATGCTGCAGAATGACTGCATTTTTACAGGGGTGATGGCATCAATTCAAGGGGTCCCCTATGACCTCAGTAAACCTTCATTTCCTCATTTGGGATTGTAAAAACTACAATAACGAGTATGAGTAATGCGTATGCAAACTTTCTTCCTGTTCCTTTTTAAATGCGAAGCCAGGAGTCTCCACCATAAGGCCATTACAAGGTCAGGTGAGGCTGCAGGACAGGATGCCAATGCTAGGACCTCTAAGTTCTCTGAGATCAGATGTGGGTGGCACCTGCCCCTGCAAGTCAGGAAGTTTCTAAGTCAACAAGCACAAATTTGTTTCAGCCAAATATGGACTGACTGGTGTTTGTTTCCAGTCCAATGGGCCATTAATTAGGATTCAAGGACATAGGACTATACTTTTTTCCCTCCTTCCCCACATGGGTTAGAGGGATTCCACAAAAGGCAGGACCCATAGAAGATGGGCGGCTTTGCCACTGTCTAGCTGGATATCCTGTGGGATCCTGTTCTCCTCACCTGCTGCACCTGAAGTAACCAAACAGGGTCGCTTGTACAACTAAGAAAGTAGAAACACTTACCCTTCCAAACACACCTGGCATTTGGTAGATGCTCAGTGTCAACTGAACCCGGGTTAACACTAGAAAGATTAATAGGATTACTGCACTTGTGGTATTAGCCTTCCCATGTACATCACCTACATGCATGCAGCGTTCACGCATGCAGCACTCACTGTGCTCCTCAGGATCAAAAAAGGCTGGAACAGATCCGGTGGGTTTTGTTACACACACACACACACACACACACACACACACACGACAGTAGAACCCAAGAGGCCATGAGAAGCAACTCTTGTATAGATGATAGGGTGTCAGGCAACAAAATCTGGCCGGATTCCCCTATTTCCTTGGGATAGTAGAAAGCACTGGGCGCCTTGCTCTGGCCTCCCTCCCCCACGCGACTGGGTTTTCTGGACTCTGTCCTCTTCCTAGCAGGGCAAAGGACAAGACCTTGAGCTCCAGCTCTTCTGAACCCTCCTGCCCCGCCAGCTTTTTCCAGACGCAGAGACAGAAGCTCGGGCTCCAGCGTTGTGCTGTTCCCCAACCCCAGGTGGTCACCGGAGGGGGTGGGAGACCCCGCCTTTCCGGACAGGAACACCCGGGCTTCAGAAGCCATTGATTCTCTCTGGTTCCCCAATACCAAAAGACACCCTCTCTCCCGGCCGCGGCAGATCACGTAGGGTGCGTACGCCGGGAGCAGACCCAAAAGCGCGTCCGCTGGAAGGGAGCCCAGCTCATTACTCTCGCTTCCCGCGCCGGGCGAGTCGCGTCTGAGCGTGGCCAGGGACCCCTCCTCGGGTCAGCCCCAGACACGCACCTCAGGTGCCCGCTCTTCGCCCAGGGTTGTGCGGGAAGAGAACTAGGAAGCCAAGACCATTCGGCGCGCAATGCCCACAAGTCTGCGGCACTGCCAGCAGCCCACCTTGATTTATTGGTGTTCTCCCCAAAGCCCGACAACTCTACTGAAATTCCACAACCTGTACCCGCCAGAAAACCCCACGCCGCTGGCGGTCCCCCAACTCTCGCCCTGCCGCGCCCTCCACCTTGGCAATGTTTGCCTTCTTTAACTGAGTAGGGATAGCGGGTTTCTGAAGTTTCCTATTGCCCCGTCCAATCCCCAGTCCTGGACCCCACGCGGCTCGCCCGCAAGCGTGTAAGCGCGAGGTCTCCCCTAAATCTTCGCCTCCACCGGCTCTTGCCCCCACCTCCGTCTCAGTCCCCGCGCTCCGGCATCTCCAGAGCCTCGCGGTTCTCTGTCCCCAGAAGAGGAAACTTCTTTCTGAGGTGAATGCAAGTCAGACGGGAAAGGCTTTTCCGACCCTGCAAACGCCAGGGGCGTGCTCGCCCCTAAACCGCAGGAAAGCCAACACCCTCCTCCCACACACGGCCACCAGCTGAGACCAATCCTTGCTACAGTGCTCCCAGACTTTTCCAGGTCAAAAGGTCTAGCCCAATCTGAAACACCACGGGGTACTCTTAGTCTTTCCAGAAACTCTAACCCGTCCTGCGCAGCTTCCAGGAATAAAAGAAACAAGTAAACAAAACGTGAATCCTGGCAACTTTGTTGTACATGTGTTTGTGTGTGTGAGAGAGAGAGCGCGAATGAGCCCAAGAGCATCGCCTAAGAGTTAGGACAACAGCTGCAGAAGCACATCTGGAAGAGGGGGAGGGGTTTGCAACGGAGGGCACCAGCAGCTCCCCGGCAGAAGGCCGGGCCAGCTTGTCGCCGTTACCTGTCCTATGTTGATGAAGCCGTATTTGCTGGCTATGTGGTCGGCCTCCGCGAAGCCGCCGGCGATCTTGACCGCCCAGTGGTTGGTGTAGACACGCGTCCGGCACACGGGGAGCAGGCAGCCCCAGAGCAGCGCCAGCACGCACAGCAGGTCCAGCCGTCCCGGGCAGCAGCAGCGGCTCCCCCAGCCCATGCTCCCGGCGCCTCGCGGGCCGCGTCGCTGGCTGGCTGGCAGGCTGGCTCCGCGCACTCCGCGGCGCGCACAACTAACTTCTCTGGCCTGGGTCGCAGCCCCGGACGGTCGGCCGCAGGAGGCGAGCCCCAGCAGGCGGCAGCGCGGCGGACTTCGGGCCAGGCTAGACCATGCCCGGGGCCGGGGACCTGCGCTCCCGGCTCTCCGACCCGCGGGGCGGTCAGCTAGCGCTCCTGGCTCGGGCGCAGGCGGCGGCGGCGCGAAGCTGGCGCCCTCCGCGATGGGGTCCCGCCGGCTCGGCCCCCGGACTCTGCGCGCCTCCCTGGGCCCTGGAGAGCCGTGGAGGCGACCCGCGGGGCGGTGCAGGCAGCGGCCGCGCGTCCCCTCTGTTGGCCGGGGCTCGGAGCGCCGGCTCGCCCGCTCCTCGCGCTCCCTCCGGCGGCACGCAGCAGTGCGAGTGGCAATGGCAGCGGCGCGCGCCGCCTAAATGACTCCCGCCCGCTCCCGCGCCCGCCTCCCGCCTCCCGCGTCCCTCCGCCCCCTCCGGCCTCGCGGAGGCGGCCGCAGCCCAGCGCCAGCCAGGTCCTAGCGCCCCCTGCTTCCTCAGCTGTAACCTCCAGGGTCCCGGGAGGCTAAGGCGAATCTTCACCAAGGGCCAAGGGAGAGAGCTCGAGAGTCGTGCTTTGCCCCCCTTTCCTTTCCTCGCAGCTGATCTGTGCTAGTGCATCACCGCTTCCCCGCGGACTACCTCGCTTGTGCGAGGGAAGCGCCTGGAAAATTCATTCACCCTTGCTCTAAATGTCCTTAAGTAACTAAGCGTTTAAAGAGGTCGTTTGCGTGTAAACTGCCCAACAAATAAGCAGAGATTTTCATTTCGTTAGTCCTTTATGCTTTTCAGCAACTGTTTATTTTACAACTCGGCTACCAGAAGAAGCTACCACACAGGACAATAAGTCGCACTTACAAAAGCCAACCACCATGCTCCAAAGCTAGGTCTGTAGCCTGCAGATCTAAGTCGCAATGGGCGCATCTGCTACAAGGCAGTGCCGCGGGACAGTAAAATCCTAGCCAAGGAAGTGAAGAAAGACACTTCTATGTGACAGAAATAAGTATTATGTGAGTGGATGGACAGGTTGCACCCAGAGAATTGCTTCTTTCACTTGTTGGGTTGCGTCTGACTAGGGCTTCTTTTTCTTCACCAGGAGAAGTTTCTCAACTTTTTGGAGAGCACACCCCTGCAACAGTGAAAGGCTTTGATGTAAAAGGGATCACAGAGGAAGTCAATATGCAAAATGTGGCCTCTGACTATTAGTGCTTCGTGCATGGTAGCTACCCCAGGGAGCTCGGGTTAACCCTCTTCACGCTTACAACCTTCCTGACGTTTTAGAGATGAGGGGGGCACCCGGTGACTTGAAGATTTTTCTAAAAAGAAAAATTAGCCTTCGTAAAGTCACTCAGCTGAGCTTATAAAAAGTCATTATATCTCTAACTTCTATTTCGTCTTTTTCTCCACCATCTCATCTTCTACCATTCTTTGCTATCTTTTGGCTTATCAGCATATCTTTGTAGTCCTTGCTATTTTTTTAATCTTTAGGCTTTCTTCTATGTGTGTAAGTTAACCTATCACACAATATTTCTGTTATCTGAAACATATCTAAAAATTTAAATGGTGCTAAGGGCCGGCAAGATAGCTCAGGGGACTAAGTGCCTGTTTAGGCAAGCTCAGGGACCAAGGTTCCACTCCCGGTATTGTGTGCTGTGCAGGCCCCACCATCGGGTGTGCTGAGCCACCAGCTACTGAGACTGGGGCATGGTGGCACACCTGTAATCCCAGCGCTGGGGAAGCTGAAAACAGGAGGATCACTAGGAGTCTAAGCTGCTTAGTGAGAACCTGTACCAAACACATTTAAAAAAAAAATTACATTTGTGCTAGCACCTTGGAGCTTAACGTTTTGTGACATTTTACACGTTGCAAAAAGTTATACTATACTACTGCATCCTGTGAATAAATCTAAACAGTAACATGATCCCCCAACCATCACTGGTAAAAATTAGAGGATCACAAAAGCTAACTCATTTGTGAAAGGGCACCTGTTTTCTTCATTAATCTATTTGACTGGTTAATACATCTATTTTGAGCACCTAGCACGTACCACATCATTCTGAGATGGGAGAAAGAAGAGAGAGGAGGAAGGAGTGCTGAAGTTTAATCTTTTTTTTTTTTTTTTCTGGTATTGGGGATCAAACTCAGAGCCTTACACTTGCCAGGCAGACACTTATGCCACTGAGCTATTTCCTCATCCTTGAAGTGTTGAAAAAGATTAGTGGAATCCCAAACCTGAATACTTGAAGCAGTAAATATTAGTGTTATTTTTTTACTTATAAATGGGAATGCATAAGCACCAATGCTGATCCTTAGAGTATTGGCATAATCTGGCTACTGGCCGCTTGCTTTTGGGCACAACCCTTCTCCTTTCTGCAGCCACAGGGTCCAGAAAAGCTCACAGTCTATCACTGTGAACTGTCTGCTGACAACTATCTGCATCTGTTGAAAAAGATGGGTTTATCCTAGAAGCTGGAGTTTTTCAGATAGAACTGAAATATTTCAGTCAAGGTACAAATCTCAATGCACAGATAGGGGACAATCTGCCTTTATGAATAATGGGCATTTGCTCTCAGGTGCAGGGAGGACCTGTGTGGACATGATCCATAGAAAAGTGGCCACTGCCCAAGATACTTCATGTGTCAAGCTGGAAGCATGGCCAGTGCATTTCTTTCTGGGGCTCTGGGGCTGTTATTGTTTAGAGCTACAAAGGCAGCACAGCATGATTCCCTTTGAAGGCCATTTCATTCCTGCTCTCAACTTCTGAATGAAAAGAAAAGAAAATGCTGCGGCACTGGGCCTCCTGAGGCCAGGAGATTCTTTGCTCAAGACAGCAAAATTGTTTGCTAAGACCACAGACTCACTTGCCTTGCGTCTGCAAGCTCTGCTTAGTGCAGAGCAACATAACCCACCTACACTACACTGAATATGGCAAGGAATTGGAAAATGAGGTAGAAAGAGGTAAAATAACTCTCTGGATTGGGGAAAGATTTAGTTTACTCACACACATGTTCTTCCTTTTGGATGCTGTCTCATCCATTTTGTCAATGTTGGGACAAAATACTCAATACCCAAAACTTAGAGGAGGAGAAGTTTATTTTGGCTCACAATTTCAGCTCATGGTCAAGCACAGAAAGAACACAGAGGAAGAATGCTGCTCCCACCAGGGCAGTCAGGAAACAAGGAGAAACCAGGGAGGGGTGGACGTGTTCTTCCAGATCACACTCTCAGTGACTCACCTCTAGCCAGGTTCCGATCCCTAGTAGCACGTGCAACAGTTGAGTGTATCGCTGGAGGAGTCCACTGGTGATACAGCACCTCCGTGATCCAGGCACCCCCAAAGCTCTGTCTCTGGATGTGTGAGGATTCTGTGAGCCATTCTAGAATTAAGCTCTGTAGATGTAAATGTTTTCAAAAGGAGGAAAGCTATTTAGAAAAAGATTTTGAAACCCCATTCATTGGCGAAAGCAAATGAATGGTTATAGTTTCATTCTTATGGTCTGTTCCTCTCACAATTATCTTCCAGTTCAATTTTTATTTTGGTTTGTTATTTGAAAGTGGGTCTCATCATGTAGTTGAGCCTGGCCTTGAACTCAATACATAGCCCGGGCTCACCTCAAACTCACAGTGATCCTTCTGCCCAGCCTCCTGAGTGCTGGGTTTATAGGCATGGGCCATCACACCAGGTTTCCATTTTAATTTTAGGTGCATTCTCAAAATGTGTGATTCCTAAACCTACGTAGTATCAAAGAAATTCCTCTCTACTGATGAACAGATATATTCTTCTTCCTGCTTTGAGATCTACCTTGATAGACTCAACAGATAGACCAAGTCCCTTGGCCAAGATGGAAGCATTTGGATGTGACTCAAAGGCAATACCCAAGAAGTATCTTATTTCATGATCTTAGATGCTATTGTTATGACAGCCCTATTACAAATACCCCTGCAGCCAAAGAGAAAGGTAACTGATAAGAGCAGTACTGGTTAATGCCAAACCATCATTGGCATTGGAAACAAAGCTAAATTAACAAGTTTTACACATTTTTTTTTTTTTTTTTTTGTATGTTAAGAACAGCACTTCAAGATTTGACCTTGGCTTCTCCCTCAATAATGTGCACAAGGCAGGAAATTAGGCAGTTTTAAATTTTAATTTGTCTTATATTTAGCAACACATTACCTTACAAGGAGACCCTGCTAGTGTTTGTCTTCTCTGCCAAGGTTCCTTCAAGCTCTAGATGAAGATTTCAGTGAAACACAGTGAATAGGTAGCTAGACGGCTTAGCAGGTGGAGGAGCAAGAACTCCATGAGGACCTATTTTGAAACTCTGGAAACTAAGCATTCTGGAAAGAATTTGCCTTAAAGATACTTTCTTCCTTCTCCTGATATAATCCTCTGCAGGATTAACCTTCAAGTGTCTATCTAGCCTGAGACTGTATGAATCAATGATAAATTCTTAATGGGCAGTTTGAAAATGACCAAGGGGAAAATGTATGGGACATTTTACTGTCCAGTAGGAGAGTTACCAAATCTATAAGAATCCTAAACAGTTTTTCATGTAACAGCCAAATTTAATAATGATGAATTATGGTAACAGCCACCATTTACTAAGGACTTGTTACATACCAAGTACTGGGCCCAACACATTTCAAGTCTTAATCTCATGAAAACAGTATTGAAACTTCTGCTGATTATAAATATTACATATTGTAACTTTGATATACATTGTGTATCTGTAATCCCAACTGATAGGAGGCAGAGGAAGGAGGACTGAAAGTTCAAGCCTAGCCAGAGCAACCTAGTGAGACTCTATCTGAAGATAAAAAATAGATGTAATTTAACAAATGTAATTTAGTGGTAAAGCCCTCCCGGGTTCTCTCCCTAGTAAAACATACACACACACACACACACATATGCACACATGTGCACACACACAACCTGAGACCAATAGGGAACCAATTTGGAGTCCAGTAGCCCGATCAG